TACATCTGTTCTGGGTATTCAATTCTCTGAGGGTAGTGTTAAGAACTTCTTCCGTGTTCAGTGCATATATGAACTTGTAGATACATTCATCTTTGCATGTGCAGCTATAGGTGAACATGTAAAGAGTTCTGTTTTATAGGATAATCATATATATGTAGGTGGAAATCAATTAATCAATCTTGTAGGATTTATAAAGGCACAAAAGATAAGCCCAGTTCATAATTCCTGAATCTTGATAAAATGCTGGATAAAGGCACCAACATTTTCATGATCAAAGGATTCAAAAGTTTTCTTGGTTCATCAGACAACTTCTAGTGTTGGATACTAAGTAAAGTTAAGGAGAGTTGTTTATAAGAAAATACAATCTGGAATCTGGATGATGAGTGAGAACTGCCAAGTATTGGGTAACGATACTAGACCTTTAAAACTTTACCCAATTTTAGGGTCAGTTCGACCCAACAATGCCATTAACTACATGAATCCTGTTTTGCAGAGTTGGTTAGTTCTGGATTTGATGTCAGCTTGAATAAATAAATTATAGGGAAGAACAGTTGTTCTTTTGTTGGGATCATTCTACAGTTTGTAGTCTTACTTTGTTTTTTTCCCTTGGCATTTCACCCAATTTGAATGACAAAGAGAGGCTATTTTTGGACTCTCTGATACAAAATACCATTTTTTTTGTCTTGTCTTTTTATTATGTGTAATTTTTAAGCAACTAGTTAAATTTCATTTGGTTAAATAGATCTTTCAGCTAAAACTATGAGCATATTTTTGCTTTCTAAAAAGGGCAGCCCAGTGTACGAGGCTTTCGCCAATGCAGGGTCTGGGGAGGGACAGGTTTATGCAGCCTTACCCCTGCACATATAGAGAGGTTGTTTCAATGATTTGAACCCTGGTCACCCAGGTTGCAATGGAGTAACCCAACCATTGCACCAAGGCCTACCCTCTGGAAGAGAGAAAAGCAGTTCCGGTTTTAGCATTTATTATAGTCTTTGACAACGGTACTGTTTCTCAGTAGTTACATGGATGTTGTAATGGATTCTATGTAAAGGATTTACTTTCTATCATAATCCTTCATGTTCTTAACAATTCAAATGCTAGGAAATGATTTATGAAGTACTCCTTCCCCTTAAAACTCAAACCGATGGTGAGAACTTGAGGCCTCATACAAAGATTCAACAAGAAAAAAGTTAGTCTTTGTTGTTGTAGACTTGTTAACTTGTTTTAATTTCTTGATTTTCTTCTTTCTACCCTATTGGGTCTTTTGCTCTTATTTATTCTCAATTTTGCATATACTTAGGTGGGCCTCTAATATATAAAATCTGGAGATGGTTTAAGAATGAACCTCCTTCCCTCTATGTTACGAACAGACTAGAGCTTTTGCTGCATTACTGGTTGACATTTTTTTAGTAAACGGAAAAAAGTATTGTAGTAAGGAGGGTGAGGAATCCTTAGAATTTACAAACAAGTATGACTATAATATCCACATGACATACAACATGTTCAAAAAATGATGGAGCTCCACTGATTCCGGAAACAATCAGAAGGAGCTCTCATGAATTGGTGTTGTACTTTGGCCCATCTCAACAAGGTCTATCATTTTTTTCCATTTAATTTTTACCCAACTTTCTGATTGTAGGTGACTTATCTAGAAATTTCCTGTGTGAATAGGAACAAGATTGTATTCCTTCCAAACTGAGCCTATAGAATTCCCATATTTCGTTGTTCCAGACATTTGTGCAGAAAACATGGTATTTTCCTTGATTGTATGTATATGTTGTATTTTGTCCATGGCTTGAACCCTAATGGCTAAAATTCATGGCAGGCTGGAGAGTTCTCTTCTCGCATTCAGCAGCTAGCTAGCCGTGGTTCTGCTGCCAACCAAGACTTGGTCGGTTCAAAATTTTGGATGAGTTGATCATTAACCTGTTGCTGAAGAAGGCATCTTAATATATGAATCAGCTGTGCCAAGTGAAGCCAGGCAATGTGCTGAGGTGTTCCATATGTGCCTTCACTATGGTCCATGAAGCCAGGCAATGTGCCTTCACTATGGTCCATGGAGAATTTTTATTCCTTCTTCCCCAATGACATCCGACTAATTTTCCCCTGTTCTGTTTTTTCCCGTTCTCTGTTATTCTTCTTTGATAGAGAACTGTATATTTGGCTGTACTTGAAAAGCTCCAACCATGTAATTTTGGTGTATGCTGCTTATTGGAAGTAATTTAGACTCRCATTTCATTTTGTAATTGTGATTTTGAAGGTCAAAGGATTGACATGATCTTATAAGCATTGRCATTTTAAACTCTCCTCTGCTATTTGTTATTTGTGAAAATTCAATGGTTCATTAAATAACCAGAACTAGTTTGATTTTCATAAAGAAAACAAAAAATTATGACAACAGACTTAAATGCCCAAAATTTGAGCCCAAAATAATGGCAGATGGTGTTTTCTTCTATCGTTCTAGAGGAAAACTTGAATTAGGCTCAAATTGGGTTTAAAAGAAGAGGCAGCATGGTTTATTTCCAAAAATTTTAGGGGCATTTAAGACTTTGTGACATTGTTTTGGAATCCATGTCCAAAGGGTAGAATTGGAAAGAGATGAAAAAATAACAATTTAGCTAGGAAAGTGGGTGTTGCAAAAGAACATGGAAAAATAGGAAACATCATTTACCTAAATAAATCAAACAAAAAAAGAACATGGGTAAATAATTTACCTAGGTAAGTCTAGCTTAGCTCATCCAGACAAGGATAAGCCAAACCTAACCTACTAAAATGCATTTACCTGGGTAAGTGCATTTACCCAGGTAAATGTGATTCCGAAAAAAGAACATGGCCCTAAAGATATCACCTTATTAATTTTAAACTATAACCTATTCCAACCCACTCATCCTCCTAAAGAAATAAACTCAACCCAATCCATTAACGCATAGCACAAACCAATACCAATATAGCTGGACCTAGTTAGAACCATTTCAAGCAACCAAACTCAGCCCAATCTGTTATTGCATAACCGACATACCTGAACCTAGTTACAACCCAATCCAACCTACCCAAGATTAACCAAAGCACACCTAACCTATGAATACATAGCTAAACCAAACCTGTCATAGATGAACCTAGTTAGAACCAATCTGAGGCTAGTCAATAGTCATCCAACCCAACCCCAACCTATCAAGATATAGTTGAATCCAACCCAACATTAGCTCAACCCAACTAGAACCAATCCAATCCACGTAAGATAACCAAACCCACTCTATCAAATCCCACGTGACTGAGCCTGATCAAACCTTGGTAGAACCAATTTAACCGTACCCAAAACTAACCTAAACTCGGCCACCTAACCAAGCCTACCTATACTTAACAACAACCAAGTTAATACTAAAACTTGCTTGAACCTAGTCCCACCCAACCAAGTCCTTATGCAAACTTAAAACTTGACTAAACCAAGTCCTACTCAACCAAACTTAACTACAAGGACCTAACCTAACCTATTGAAGCACAAACAAACTTAGACCACCCAACCAGCCCTAGTCCCAAACTCACTCCAATAGAACTGAACGAACTCTACCTAGCCAAACATAGATAAGACCATTCTAACCCATCCCAGGATTATCCAAGCCTAGAAAAAGACGGCAAACTAAACCCAATAGGATCCAACCATCAACCAAACAAACTAATCCAATTTTCGGAACCCAACCCAAGCTGTCAAGATATTGCCAAATCAAACCCAAAGTAGGAAAACCCAACTAGAACCAATTCAATGTACCTGAGATTAACCAAACCCACCAAACCTCAACAAAGTCTAGCTTAGTTCATCAAGACAAGGATAAGCCAAACCTAACCTAATAAAATGAACCTAGAACCTAGGTTGAGCCTAAACCTAGAACTTTAACCTATCTAAACTTAACAAGAACCAAGTTAGGACCAAAACTTGCTTGGACCTAGTCCCACATAGCCAAGACCTAACCTAACCTATGCAAACTTAAAAACTTGACTAAACCTAGTCCTACTCAACCAAATCTAACTACAACTAGGCCTTACGTAACCTATTAAAGCACAAATGGACATAGACCCACCAAACCAGCCCTAGAACCAAACTCAGCACAACACAACTGAACCAACTCTACCTAGCCAAATCTAGATAATATCATTTTAACCTATCCAAGGCTGACCCAAGCCTAACAAAACTCAGCAAACTAAACCCAAAATGATCCAACCATACTGAGATAGAACAAATCCAGCTGATCTTGGGCTAACCCAAAAGTAACCCATCTCAATTTAATTCATTGAAACATAGTTGAATCTAACTCACAAAAACAAACTGAACCCAGTATACATGGCTGAACTAAACCCACCCCATCAAAGCATAACCTCTTAAATCACAGCTGAACCCACCAAAACAATCTGAACCTACTAAACATGGCTGAACTAAACCCACCCCATTAAGGCATAGCTGAACCACACCTAACCTAGAAGTCAACCCAAAACTCGAACTCAAGCTAATGAACCATCAGTCCATCAGACAGCCTTGCTAGTCCATAACCCAACCAAGCTAACAGACTTCCACCTAAGCTTCTACAATGGAGAGGTCCATCTCACAATAGTCCATCCTGTTTTGGAGGTTTATATTCAACCAGAAGAAACTAAACATCTCAGTTCATTTAATCGAAACCCCTTGAACAAGCGAGCATCCTCACTTGGTCAAACTTGTCCTACGCTAATCTACCTAGCCTGGAAAAACCTAGTAAAGCAATAACCAACCAAATCTTTTCCAGCCTAAACATTCCTCCGTCTTGGGTGGAAAATGGCAGTCCATAGTGGATCCAAGAACTCATCAAACTAGACTATTCTAACCCTAACAACCCTATTTTCCAAACTATTTGGTTTCACCACTATACAATACAAATTCAACTTACCTACCTTTGGTCTTAGAGACCAACCTAAACTCCTAACCTGAACCCAAAACTCTAGATCCCCAAAACCACACTACATCAATACTCTAAACTACAAACCCTAAACATTAAACCAAAAGCTCTAATACCCTAAAATCTTAAGCCAAAAACCCCAACCTTGAAACCCTAAACCCCTAAACACCCAATCCCTAACCCCTTACCCTTAATTGCTAAACCCTAAACCCATAAAACCGGACCCCTAAACCCAAACTCCAAACTTGACCCAATTGCTAACCTCCATGCTCCTAACTCCTATCCTCCAACCTAATCCCCTAACTCCTAAACCCCTAAACCTCAACACCCTAAGCATAAAACCCAAAAGCCATAAACCCAAAACACCAAAACCTAAACCCTAAAAATCCTTAAACCTGTAAAATAGCTAAAAGAAATAAAAGTGTAAAACCATAAAACCCTAATACCTACCACTTATACCCTTGACCCTAGAATCAAGAACCAAGAAACCCCAAAACCCCAATAAATGAAAACCCCAAACCCCAATACCCAAATCCCAAACATACTAAACTCCAAACCCTAAACCCTAAAATCCCTAAGCCTTATTCCCTAATGTCTAAGCCCCAAACCTTGAACACAATCCACAATCTCCAATCCCTAAGCTCCTAACCCCAAACCTCTAACCCCTAAACCCTAAACCCTAATTCCCTAACTCATAAAGCCTTAAACCCAAAACCCCAATGCACTCCTAAAACCTTAAACCCCAAACCCCAAACTCGAAATCCCATACACCATACCCCAAAACCTTAAACTTTAAACCCTAAGCCTAAAACTAAATACTAAAAAACCCTTGACCCAAACTCCAAACCCCAATATTCAAAAACTCCGAACCCTAAACTCTAAACTCTAATCCCTAAATCCAAAACCCTAAAAACCCCTATAAATCATAAAAATCACAAAAACACTAAGAGTGTAAAACCCTAACCCCAAACCCCTAATATCGACCACTTAGACCCTAGACCCTTTGATCCAAAACACCCTAAACAAAAAAACTAAATTGTAAAACACAAACCATAAACCCTATAGAAAAATACATTAAACCCCAAAACCCTAAACACTAAAGAACCCTAAAGACTAAACTCCAACACCGAACCCCAAGCCGTATACACTAAACCCTAAAGCTTAAACCTTTAAAACCTAACTCTTGAATCGATAATCCCCTAAAACCCAAAAACAACAAAACCCAAGCTACAAACCCCAAACTCCAAAGCACAAACCCTACACCTAAAACCCTAAAACCCTAAAAGCTTAAACCTTAACCTTAAACCCCTAACCCCTTTGACCCAAGACACTAGACCCTAGGACCAAAAACCAAAAAAACCTGAAAAACCAAAAGCCCCAACACATCAATACCCCAAACCCCAAAATCCAAATCCTTGGAACACCAAAACCAAAAAGCTCAAGTCATAAACCCTAAACATTAAAGCCTAAAATTCAAAAGGCAAAGCCCTAAACCATAAACCAAAAATCTAGAAAACCTTAAACCTTAAATTCTAAAACCCAAAACCCCAAAACCCATAATACTAAACCCTTAACTCCAAATCCTTTACTCCTAAACTACAAACCCCAAAACCCCAACCCAAAACCTTGAACCCAACCCCAACCCACAACCTCTAAGCTTCCAACCCTTGAAAATCATCCCCCTAACTACTAAAGCCCTAAATCCAAAAACCTTCACACCAAACCAAAACCTCCATAAACCTAGAAACCCCAAACCCCAAAGACTAAATCCTAACCACAAACACTAAACATTAAGCGTTAAAACCCCTAAGCACTAAACCCTTACCATTAATCTCCCGAAACCTAAACTGCAAACCCTAGACTCCAAAGCATAAACCCTAAACCATAAACTCTAAAGCATTAAAATCCTAACTCCTAACTTCTACTCCCTTGACCCTACACCCTAGACCCTTGACCCAAAAACATAAAAACCCCAAAACCCAAATCACCAAAACACCAAAACCCTAAACCCAATACCCAACCCCTAAGCTCATAACCCCAAACCCAAAACTCTAAGACCTAACCCACAACCCCAATACCTACCACCTAGACCCTGAAACCCTAAACCCCAAAACCCAAAAAAGCCTAAACTCAAAAAACATAGTACATCAAACCCCAAACCCCAAACATAGCCCCTAATTGTTAATCCCCTAAAACACCAAAACAACAAAATCAAACCCAAATGCAAAAATGCTAAAACCCTAAAATGCTAAAACAATAAAATCCTGAAGTGCCAAAACCACAAAACCCTAAAAAGTCAAAACTC